TTGACTCAGACTCGTTAGAATGAATAAAATAAGTCCAAACTCGAAGATTTTACTAGTATGAGCTATTGAAAAATTCCGCTGTATAGATCTTCCTTCTCGCTCCATCATCAGTTCCAATAGCATCACGTTATTGTCATTTATTTACAAAGTTTCAAATCGATACGGCAATTAGAATTAAATTAAAATCGACTCTTGATTACGTAGTTAGCTATAAGTGGTTCTAATAAAAACGTGTAAATAGCAAGGATAGCATTTCGATATTACAGTGTTGTATGCATATTTTATTTTGTAATAGCGACTCACCCTCGCTTCGCTCGGGTTCGTCCTTAAGTCGATTCCCCATACAAACTTTCATCCCCTATTTTCACCCTATTAAGGGAATTCCGGAATAAAAAATATCCTATGTCCTTCCCAGGATCTCAAACTATTTTCTCACCAAATTTCATCTAAATCGGTCCAGTAGTTTTTGAGCTTATTGGTAACAAACATACAAAAATACAAATCTTTCCTCTTTATAATAGTATAGATGTTATTACATTAGTACGTTCTACGTGTGTTGTTATACCAATTGTGGCCTTTCTTTTTTTAATAAACAATTCCACCCCTGATGGATGGAATAATTATTTTTAAATTAATGTTGAGGCCAATATATATCTATAAAGCATATCAGTGTTTTAAAGTAAAATAAAACAATATTACATAAGTATCAAGTACCAATAAATTAATTTCAACGCAACACTGCAATATCGTGTGGTGGAATCCAGTCCTGGATCTGCAATTACTACACACACTTATGATAAAAACAAGAATTAAAAAAAAACAATTATGAAATCCAAATTAGCAGGTATAGTTATAATTTATTTTATAATAATCCAGAGGTTTGATATCATATTTAGTATCAGTTATAAATTAACATTTAAAGAATTCTGTGCAATTAGTTGCAACAATAGTACCTATTATATCAAGTTATAGATTAAACGATGAAAATAATTGAAAAAAAAAGCTAACAATATCCACACACTATTTATAGACTATCAGATATGACCTGAATAAAAAAACTATAGTTAAAAAAGCAGTAATAGTATAAGAATAGGTAAAACAGCATATTTTATTTAGGGGAACACTGCCCAAAATGGCACCACTAAGCTTAACCTTAGTTTAAGCTCTACCGCTAACCGTGCTGTTATACTAATTCTAGGTACCGTAGGCATCCTATGCCGTTATTATTTATTAATTAATCATTTACGGTATTTACTAATCAGACTTACATTTAAATAAAAAATAAATATATTATATGAATTCAAAAATGAAAGTTGGAAAATCTTATAATCTTCTAAAATGGACAAAATCGGCTCTATAAAAGGAATACAAAATCTATTATGAAACCACTTTTCGCATCATCTTCTTTATTATTGATACCAGGCATCGATCCTCAGAGGAAACAAACTGGACACCGAGAGTAATCTACTGATTCATTTAGAGAAGAGGTGGATATGCGATAGAACATTAAATTCAATAAAAGGAAATTTTCTACGTCTTCTTCGTCAGAAAATGTAGATACGAGTACGTTCCATTATTTTGTTTATGTAAAATTGCATATTATTTTAGTGCTTTGCTTTAAATACGAATATCTTTAAGTTTTCAAGAGTACTTGTTAACTTCTTCATTTATCTGGGCTTTTCTTCTGTATTAGTAATATTTGAAAGTACTGACAAAGAGAAACTGATACATATACTCATATAACGTGGCATCAGTGATAATCGTGTCTGGAAATTTGATGAAGATAATGCAATGCTACCAGGACATTAATTCTACCTTTTATAGATCCATTTCAGCGTTTTAATTTTGTATGAATATTACATAAGGAGAAACTTTATTCCACGAGGATAAGTGTTCTTGAAAAAATCTTAATAAAATATAATAATTAAGTAAAATATTGTCAAATATAAAATGTCAAATAAAATATTGTCTTTCGTTGAAGGAAAACACCGTGAAGAAACCTGCATGTCTCAGAGAACCTGGCAGGTTTTCGAAAGACATGTGAAGTCCGCCAACCCGCACTTGGCCAGCATGGTGGACTATGGCCTGATCCCCTCGTATTGGGAGGCCCGTGCCCAGCAATGGGACGTTAAAAAGGGTTGAATACAAGTAAAATATTAAACAAAACTTTAAAGTCCTTTAGGCATGATAAAAAAATATCTGAATTACGAAAATAGGTACTATTTTCAATATTTTTGCTTTAGATATACTCGTACCTAATAAGGAATGAACAATTAATATTACAAACTTGCATATATTTTGCACGGGTACGAGAAACAAATATAAATGCAGATTAGTTAAAAATATTCGTACGTGGAAGAAGTTGAAAAACGATTTATTATGAAAAACAATATTTTACGAGGCCACTTTAGTAGCTTTGATTAAGGATAAGATATGTACATACAACTTATTTATATACCAAAGAAGTTCAGTAGGTGGCAATGATATAATTTAAAAGAGAAACTTTTTTTTTTAATTTACTTGCATGCACCACTTTGGGATCCTTCCCCTTACAGTATTTTCCAAAACAAAAAAATTAAGGCATAAATAATCCAAACTTCAGCTTTGTATCCGAAATAAAAGCGTAGGCTCCACAATAACAAGCAGTAATCGTTATTATACTGCCTATCAGTCTACAGAACCAGATGCAATCTGCATCGCAACATACGAGCCTTTGATTTGGTACATTGACTTTTGATATCGGTTTCGTACATTGCACTGTCCGTAAGCTAAAATAAGAAATACATTTTCAAAAATAAAGATTTATTTTTTAACAATTTGAGATATTTTTATCTATATTTATTAACACAGATAAAATATTTTTTATCTGTGTTAATAAATATAGTTTTAGTTCTGGTGGGGAGAACCCCAATCTGCCGGAATCTTCATAATGGCTAATGCTAATACTGATACAGCATTATGCATATCTACAACACTTTGTCTCGCTCACTGTTAAGTCTCAGGTACCCAAAGAAAACCGCAGTTATATTGATTAATGGTGAGATTATTATGAATATAAATTAATATCATTTGAAATTCGAACTTATATAATCTAACTAGTCTTACATCAACTACCTGAATAAATAAAATGTTTGTTCAATTATTATAAATATTTAAGAAGTGTTCTTTAATACAAAAGAACGGTTTAAATATTTTGGAATATTTTATTAACTTATTCTCTTTGCCGCATGTAAAACCATAGACAAAAAATAGTGAATTATAACTATTAGATATTTAACGTTTACCTTTTTTTAAATTGCTACGTGTCAACTAAATATAGACACATTATTATAGATGCTGTAGCCCATTGATGTCAAAGCAACAATTTATTTACTTTTTATAGATGCGCGCAAAAAGAAAAATATCCTTATATTGTATGGTTGGCACAGAATGCGAAATCGTAGTTATAATTAATTTATGGCGACAGTATCCAGAGATGAGTCGATAGGGAATAAAATGCTGGTCAGCTATTTAAAAAAAATGGAAACTTGAGTATCTAGCAATGCCTCTGCGCATTGGATTAAGCTTCCATTTATATTAGTCACCTATTAAATAAATGTATTCAAAGCCTACGTATTTATACCAATACGATCCTCGTTTCATGACTTTTTGTTTTTGTTTATTAGGAAAAAGGGTATTTCTAATTTAATGTTATGTGTAAGTACTAAATACACAAACGTTAAGTTTAAAATAATTACTTTTACAGTGCTAAATGGAAACAAATATATGGGCCTATGTGTAATAGAAACTTGGCAGTGTCTGGAGAAAACTTTAGTCATAAACTTAAAACTTATTCAACATAAATAATAAGAAGAAAGTTAATCATAATGTGTTTTATGATTTTCTATTCTTACTCACAATATAATATTGTTTTTAGGTTTAGTATCCATTTGATTAATTTTGTAATAACCAAGTATCGTCAGACATGTATCTAAAAAAGGTGAATTATTATTACATAAACAGTTTATGAGTTTCCATAATGTTACCTATGAATCTTTTCTTAAGACTTTAGACAAGTACACTAATTAAACAATATTTAATATTATCTATACCTAAAAGAATAAAAATATATATTTACACATACAGAACCACGTGTTATTTTGTATTTAATATGTAGTTATCTAATTTCTCAACTATTTCTACCCGATGTCATATTAGTACAACAAAATATAACACGGTCGCTCCTTGGACATAATTTATACAACTGATGTAAAAAAAGTAACTTACTTCTGCCTCATGTCGTATCGAATATTATATGAAACGTAATTTATTTTAGCTATATATACGATAAAGCAGAAAAATAATATTGAAGTAATAACAAATGCTATGAACTCCAAATACCATAAGACATTTGTAAATATTCCATACATATTTTTTTTATCTGTTTAAAAGATTTTACGCATACATGTCATTTAATTTTTTATAATATTCTTTTCAGGCAGCTACAAATAATTAAGTCAGTTTCACTGACAAAACTATAGTAAGAAAATTAAAACGTAACTATCTTTTTTTTATAATTTAGTAGTAATATTTATAACTAGCATTGCCCGCGGCTTCGAACGCGTTCAGATGACCAAAAACCAAATTCTAAGGTTTTACATATTAGTATATTCTTACATTGCAGTTTTTGGATTTTTTCTCAGAAATTGAGGTATTTTCTCGCGGTAAAAAGTATCCTATATTTTGACCCGGATAACCAGCTATCACCATACCAAATTTCATCAAAATCCCTTGATGTGATCTCCTTGTTAAGTATGAAGGTCACATGTTATTTAATTACCTTCTTTATAATATTAGATAATATTATGACATTGTCAACAGTGTTATACTATCAAATTGTCAATACCTAATTATTTACTATGTCTTATTTTATTGTTGAATAAAGCCAATATTCTATTTGGTTCTATCATTATCTGTATCAATTTATTCAACAATAATTTTGTGTATCGCTGATACCAACTATGCCTGACGAAAAGGAAAAGTCTTTCTCAATATCTCGGTATCTGCGTCCTGAACGTTTTGACGTGGAACCCGCAATGGCCGGCTCAGACTTGAAATGGATTCATTGGAAGTACTCATTTGAAAATTTTATCGCACAGGAAGCCGCTTCGGCTGACGATGCCCTTAAGTACAAACTCCTTGTAAACCATATCTCGCCATCAATATTTAACTTCATTCAAGCTTGCATCGATGCCATGACCACTCTCAGTACCACCTATGAAAAACAAAAAAATATTATCTTGGCTCGGCATCGCCTCGCTACTAGAAAGCAACAGCCTGGCGAAACGTTAGCAGAGTATTCGAGATCTCTTGCCATACTTGCTCGTGAATGTCACTTCAAAGCTGTTACTGCTAATGAACACCAAAACGAAACCGTACGTAGTACGTTCATTGCCGGAATATTGTCTCAGAAAATAAGAGAAAGGTTGCTAGAAAAATCTACTATGTCTCTGGAAGAAACATTGAATCTGGCTACATCTTTAGAAACTGCTGAAAATACTTCACGACTACTAACAGTATCATCTCCATCAACGTCTGCTGTTCCTGTTAACACGATCTCTGAAACTCAAGCATCGCAACCACAGCTCAACTTGGCAGCATCAAAACCTCAAAATTTTCATCACAGTCGCCCTACGCAAAGTGACCGCCGATGCTTTTTCTGCGGTGGCAATGTTCATAAAAGAATCAAGTGCCCCGCTAATAATGCCCAATGTCAACTTTGCTCCAAAAAAGGACATTTTGCAACTGTTTGCCGTAGTTCAAGACCAGGTCAACGTACCGTAAATGTTATTACCATGGACGATGACGACGTTACTCAACCTCAAGTTACTGATTCTCATTTGTCAATGATATCCGCTGCTGCGCCATCAAGCCTACGTAAAGCTACCATTCCAATTACCTTGAACAACTATCAAGCAGATGCGCTACTTGACACCGGAAGTTCAATCAGCTTTATCGATAAGAATACTGCTCTAACCATGAACCTTAAACGAAAGCCCTGTCGACAAGCGATAACTTTAGCATCTCTTAACAATATATCATATGTTGAGGGACTATGCTACGCTACAATTCAGATTGGTGAACATATATACCAGCATCAACCTCTGCTCATTGTTGGCGATCTGTGTGCTGACGTTATCATTGGGCATGATATATTAGGAAAACACTCATCATTTGAACTTCAGTTCGGGGGAGACAAAGGGCCCTTGAAAGTTTGCAATGTACTGGAGGCATCTGTCCCACCAGCTTCAATTTTTACTAATCTTTCACCAAATATAAAACCTATAGCTATTCGCTCCAGACGGCATTCTCAGGAAGACCAAGAATTTATATCTAACGAAATAAGCAACTTACTTAAAGACAAGGTTATCGAACCCAGTATCTCGCCTTGGAGGGCACAAGTACTCGTTACTGGTGATGACTATCATCGGAAACGTCTTGTCATTGACTATTCTCAAACTATAAATAGATTCACGGAACTAGATGCATATCCTTTACCTACCATCGATTCTATTATAACTCAAGTCGCTAAATACAATGTTTATAGCCAAATCGACCTCAAAAGTGCTTATCACCAAGTTCCCATTCTTCCAAAGGAGAAGGTATACACAGCCTTCGAAGCGTGCGGGAATCTCTACCAATTCACACGAATACCATTTGGAGTCACAAATGGTGTGGCGGCTTTCCAGCGAACTTTAGAGTATATCATTGATTCGGAAAAACTGAAAGGTACATATGCTTCCTTAGACGATGTGACTGTATGCGGAAAAGATAAGCAGGATCATGATGATAACCTTCGCAAATTCATGAAAGCTACTGAGAAATATAAACTCACTCTAAATATGAGTAAATGCACTTTTGAATCAGAATCCATAAATCTTCTCGGCTATACCATCAGTCATAACGTAATCAAACCTGACAAGTCTCGATTGGAACCACTAACAAATCTTCCTATCCCATCTGATACAGCTACTTTGAAAAGAGCCCTTGGACTATTTGCTCATTATTCAAAGTGGGTCGACAACTTTTCTGCCAAAATCAGACCTCTGATCGAAGCTACATTTCCTTTATCTGAAGAGGCTATTAACTCTTTTAACAATCTAAAGATTGACATTTCTAAATCGGCCTTAGCTGGAATAGACGACAAAGAGATATTTTCTGTTGAAACTGACGCCTCTGACTTCGCAATCGCAGCAACGCTGTCACAAAAAGGACGTCCCGTAGCATTCTTCTCACGATCACTTAACGATTCTGAGAAAAGACAACCTTCCATTGAGAAGGAGGCTTGCGCTATAGTTGAAGCTTTACGCAAATGGAGACACTTCTTGATTGGAAGACATTTTCTACTCGTAACTGATCAACGGTCTGTTGCATTTATGTTCAACCAAACACACTCTAATAAGATCAAGAACGAAAAGATCGAGAGATGGCGCCTAGAATTGTCTTGTTTTAAATACGACATTGTTTATCGACCCGGAAAACAGAACTTTGCTGCCGATGCGCTCTCTCGAGTCTGCATGCACATAGATAGTTTGTCTAATAACTCCAAACTTGTTGAACTACACCGATCTCTTTGCCATCCTGGAATTGCACGTATGGTTCATTGGGTCAGATCGAAGAACTTACCATACTCCATCGAAGAAGTGAAACGAATGACGGCAGCATGTCCTATCTGTGCTGAAATCAAACCTCGTTATATAAAACACCAAGGGCATCTCATAAAGGCAACTGCACCTTTCGAAAGACTAAACTTAGATTTTAAAGGGCCGATTCCATCTAACACTCAAAACCGATACATTTTAACAATAATCGATGAATATAGCCGTTTTCCGTTTGCGTATGCCTGTAAAGATATGACCTCAGGAACAGTCATAAGTTGCCTTAAAGATTTATTCTCCACATTTGGTACTCCGGCTTACATCCATTCCGATAGAGGAAGTTCATTTTTATCAGATGAAATAAGACATTTCTTAACCTCACTCGGAACATCTTGCAGTCGCACCACCCCTTACAATCCCCAAGGAAACGGTTTGGTAGAGAAGCTTAATGGTACGCTGTGGCGAACAATTCAATTACATCTCAGATCGAACAACGAAGACGTTGCTAACTGGGAGAAAGCTTTGCTGCCAGCGTTACATTCTATAAGATCCCTTTTATGTACGGGAACGAATGCAACGCCTCATGAGCGTATGTTCAACCATCCTCGTCGCTCGATAAACGGCCAATCTTTACCAACTTGGCTTCATTCACCTGGACCTGTTTATATAAAGAAGAACGTAAGGAGTTCAAAATATGACCCGGCTGTAGAAGAGGTACAGCTGTTACAAAGCAATCCTGAATATTCTTACGTTCGATTAGCAGATGGGCGAGAAACTACAGTCTCTAATAGATCCTTAGCGCCACTGCCACAGGTCGTTGACGACGACTCGTCGGACGATGAAGAGCAATTAGAAATGGAGGAGGTCCCTTCCAACGAAGCTCCACCTGCTAGCCCAGAAGTGGAGAGTACACAAGTTCGTCGCTCTGTTCGAGAACGCAAACCTCCGGCCCACTTTCAAGATTACGTCTCTTCATAAAGGGGGGGGGGGGGGGTGAATGATGTGATCTCCTTGTTAAGTATGAAGGTCACATGTTATTTAATTACCTTCTTTATAATATTAGATAATATTATGACATTGTCAACAGTGTTATACTATCAAATTGTCAATACCTAATTATTTACTATGTCTTATTTTATTGTTGAATAAAGCCAATATTCTATTTGGTTCTATCATTATCTGTATCATCCCTCCAGTGGTTTTTTTGTGATGCGGTAACAGACAGACAGACAGACAAATAGACAGACAAAGACAAAAATTCTATAAACTATAGATTCGGCCTCTGTATCTTTAATAATGTGTATTTCAATAAGATTTAAAAAAAATATTTAATGTACAGATTCGGTTTAGTTAAAATTTTATTATATGTATAGATAATTAATCTAATTTCAGCTGATTTCAATTTAAGAATGACAAAGTAATTTGCATCAAAGCTTTAGAAATTATAAAAAAAAAATCAATTCTGTGAAGCAAAATCAATGATTTATTCATTGAAATATAGAGAGTGTACGAATAATGAAATATAATTATTATAAATGGATTGCAACAAGTGAATTGTAAATCAAAATTGAAAACTAAAACTACCAACTGACTGTCCATCAATTTTATTCCAATTATACTTTACAGGATGTTCGAACGTAAGTAATAACTTCTTTAATTTCATTTCAGTGAAAGTGGAAGGCACCAGTAAATGTTGCGTAAGTAAAATATAAAAAAACTTTACGGTTACATACTAGCGTTCTCCGTACTTTAAAAGTTTTTTTTTTTCTTATGGATCGATTATTGATAATTCATCTATGTTTTCAATATAATTAACTATGTCACATTAGAAGTTTAAGGTACTCTTTTCTTCCGATGAAAATAAATCAGTTGAACATTTCAACTATTATAATAATACATTATATACCTATGGTGGTGTACTAAATAATATGTATTGTATAATAACATGTGCAAAGTGAAAAGTGATATTATAGTACGTATATTACTTCTGACTAATCTGCTTAATATTTTATAATGTTTATTTACATATATTAACTATAAACTACGTTTATGTGTTGATCTTAGATTAAGATTTACACAAAAATATTATGATGATTTTACTATTAGGAATTTAACGAGTTATTAATAATTTACAGTACAAGATTTAGTGTGATTATTGCTTAATAAATTATACTTAATATCCGAAACATTTATATGCCTATTATTGTGTATTTCTATTTAATACTAAATATTATAATCAAATAGCGCTGGATTTACACTAGGGGCACTCGGGGCTAGTGCCCAGGGCGACAAATTTTTAGGGGCGGCAGAATTTGGAGGGTGGAAAAAATATTCTCTTCGCGTTAACGAAAATTCTTTTTTTATTTCCCAAAAAAATTAATAGTTAAAAAAGATTAAGTAGTTGGTACGTTTTTCGAAAAATTGATATCACTTATAAATTATATTTAGCATTTTTCAAAAAAATATAGCATTAAACAAAATTAAAATTTACCGAAACTTTATGCACTTTATACAAAATTTTGATAATAGGGCGGCATCTCTTATAGTCTAAAATGAAATAAATAAGAACATGTCTGATTATTAACTTTTTCTAAAAATTTATCTATTATATCCATAGATTAAGGAGACTACATCATTGTTTGTTTATTACATAATATAAAGTCTATTGTATTATACCGAATTTACTATAATTTATTTGTTTAATATTTAGGAAAAACAAAGTAACTCTCGTAAGAATATAAAAATGAGCCTAACTTTACACTTTAAATCTAGCTGCAGAATATATTTTCTGCTGCAGGTAATTGGCTATTTTTTGTTCATAATAGATAGAGCAAAGCTATAATTGGGATAAAAAAATTTGTTTCGAACCTTCATTTATTGTTCAGACAACCCAAAAATAAAGAAAGATAATTTTCGATATTATTCCGCATCGATCAAAGAAGTACTAAATAAACAATCAGCGACGAAAAATGTCCTCACCGAATGAGTACTCATTTGAACATTTGAGCGCGCTTTTAATATTTTTTTTTGAAAACAATTTTAAGTTTTGCATTTAAGGTTAAATTTACACTGTAGTATATTTATTTCAACTAGAACATTGTTACATAAACACCATTGGTGACAGTTGCAGTTGCATTTGGAGACAGAGAACTTTTGCATGGAATTGTATATCTAGTACTTTTTTGATCCATGTTTTTCCGGCACATTTAATCGGTAAGTCTAAATGAGGTTGGTATGTGTCATTTCAGCTCCAAGCATTACAAAAGTTCCGAGAAATAAAATTAGTAATTTTATTTAGCTATTCCTAAAAATCATAAAATATGAATATTGAATAATTTGTAAGTCTTGACAATTTTGTTTTCATTAGTTACATCGTAGGTAGATCATAATTTGATCAATCTTTATATAAAAAAAAAGAAATATTGTCCATGTTCAATTTCGATGTCGTGATGTCACTGATGTGTCATCACATTCACTTGTCAAATGTCAATGAATGTCAACTGTCAAGTACCTGCAACATTAACAAACATTCACAAATCACAGCTGTGATTAGATCAAATTCTTAGGGTTTCCTTCGAAAATGAGCAATAATTATTTAGCATTTTTATGGAAGTCACCTAGTACCTCATATGTATTTAAGTCGAAACAAAGTGGAATTAATAATTTAGATATTGTTAGCTAATTGTTATTTTATGTTAGAAACTAAAATATAGCAGCAGTGTAAATTATGAAGTAAATTATTATTAATAAGTTATGTGTGATTATTACGAATTAGAAGGTCATAAAATGAGAGGTCTTCGCGATTGGCGCAAAGCCCTTCGGACTCCAGCCACATATAGAGTGGGCAACGCAGTGAGAATTCAACCACAGTTTATTTTTTTAATCATGCTTATTGGTATTATCCTTTTAATTTTGTTTTACTATAATTTGTGTACTAGTGGTCACTCGTCAACATTGCATGTTACATGGCCGAGAAGTTCACGGCCGTATAATGCTACCTACCCTTTGTCTTCTCCTTTTCAATCAGGAGATGTCATAACCTATAAAATAGGTATAGTAGCAGACTTAGATACTAATTCAAAAATCGATACCAAGCCTTATACATTTATTAGTTATTTGAAAAGAGGTTTTTTAAGTTATGACACTGTTAAAAATCATGTTACTGTTACATGGGAAAAAATGCCTACCACTATATTGTCCTCGACTTATTCCCATAAGGGAAGGGGAATGGAACTATCGGAATTAATAGTTTATGATGGCAGATTACTTACTTTTGATGATCGTTCTGGAATGGTAATAATACATACAATCATTTGCAACACTGTTGTTTCTAAACCTGTTTTTTTAAAGTGTCCTTAAATTTACTACAGATATTTGAAATAATAAATAACAAAATGGTGCCATGGGTAATACTCTCAGATGGAAATGGACATAATGAAAAAGGTTTCAAATCTGAATGGGCAACAGTCAAAGATGAAGTGTTGTATGTAGGGTCAATGGGTAAAGAATGGACCACGGCTGGAGGAGATTTTGAGAGCTATGACCCTATGTGGGTAAAAGCTATCAACATGCATGGAGAGGTAAATTAATATTATTACAATATAAATTCATAATAATAACTTAACACCTCACAGTTAATTTCTAAGAAATTAATTGTAAACGGAGCCGCCGCCGGTTCAACGTTCGTTGACAGGCTAATTGGATAAGTTTATATATTTATTTTTCAGGTACAACATTTAAGTTGGGTGCACCAATATAAAGCTGTTCGACTCTCAGCTGGCATAAAGTGGCCTGGATACATGATCCACGAGTCAGGAGTTTGGTCTCCTTTTAAGAAAAAGTGGTATTTTTTACCGAGGAGATGCAGTCATGAAGCTTATAATGAAACAAGGGATGAAATTATGGGTTGCAATTACATGATCAGTGCTGATAACAGTTTCAAAAACATTAAAGCTACTGAGGTATGTAAAAATTAGTACTTGCTTCTGCATGTGACAACTCTCAGATGTTAACTTTTATTACGAATTTACAAAAAATAGTATAACAATAATATCACGCCCCCAATTTTTTCCAAGCCCCCATTAAAATCGGTCCACTATTTCGGAGATTAACATGAACAAACCGACAGACAGACAATTTTGTTTTTCTTATAAGTACCATTTATATCTTCATAATATGCATTTAGTAAAAAGCTGTTATTTTGACATTAGAAACAGACACTTCAATTTTATTTATTTGTATAGATTAATGATCATCAACATAGAAAAATGTGATTGATAAATTATGTCCACAGATTGTCAAACTTCAACCAAAACATGGTTTCTCATCATTCAAATTTATACCTGGCTCAAAAGATGAAGTTATAGTTGCATTAAAAACTACCGAGTTTGAAGGCAAAACCGCTACATACATTACTGCATTCAAAACCGACGGAACAATATTACTGCAAGATACGTTAGTTGAACATCTCAAATATGAAGGTATTGAATTTATATGAAAATTGTCATTTCTTGTGACTTTGTATAAAAGGTGACAATATGTAGAAGAAATTTTAGCTATAAATACTATAGTATTATATTATATAATATTGTTATAGTATGGCAAATTTTTAAACTGGTACAATGTTTTCATTTATTCACTTTATAAGGAATCAATTTTATAGATTTGTTCTTATCAGATTTTTTTATCAGAAACAAGCTGATTCTGTAATTTTTTAACTGAATTTTATAAATCATAAACGTCAGTCTGTATATCGCATTCCATAATTTATGTATATTTAGTATCATGAAGTAATAATTATAGAAAAACAAAACCTTTCATAAAGGTACTTGAATTATGCATGTTGATAAGTCAGAGTATCTAAGCACAAGTTAGTCGATTTGTATCTAATGTACATACGTAAATTATGATATCTTTAAAACATACTGTGTTTTATTAATAAGATAAAGCAATATGTGTTGAACAAGTAAAGCAATAAAATTTCCTAAAACACAAACTAGTCTTTGAATGTATAATCTGAATATAAATAATACAAGTCTTACTTATTAACCCCCGACGCAAAAACGACGGGGTGTTATAAGTTTGACGTGTCTATGTGTGTGAGTGTGTCTATCTGTGGCATCGTAGCTCCCGAACGGATGCACCGATTTTGATTGCTTTTTTTTGTTTGAAAGATGAATTAGTCGGGAGTGTTCTTAGCTACGTTTGATGAGAATCGGTCCAAGATGGTCGAGGTTTTTTTAAGTTTTTTATTTCAAAATTCATTTGTCTTAAAGTACCTACTGGAGAAATTCACAAATATTAATTTTATACGCCTACTTTTTACATTCTACCTGTGGGGCCGTTCATAAAATACGTTCGCATACTGGAGGTGTCCTGCTGAGTGTGACAAGGGGGGACGAGGTGTCTACGGCAACGTGACGTTCGCCGTTCATTATTTTTCGACATGAGCGCTAGCTCTGTGGTGCGTCTCTAGCGGCCTTAATCCTTGGGACTTCTGATTAATAGCAATATTATTTATGTCGTTATAAAAGATATTTATTGATTTATTTAAATTTTATTATAATAACTAAATAAATAGTTTTAGTTCACAAAATTTGTGTACTATCATTGAAAATGTATCACACTCAGTAGGAGAGGAGGATCCTAGGGGGATCACAGAAAGTGTGACACAGCGTGACAATAGGGGGTCAAAAAAAGTTGATTTTGGCGTGATGTATTTTATGAACGGCCCCTGTACAAAAAAATATATATTGAGTTTTATAAATTTCTAGCAACTTACCCTCGCTTGGCTCGGGTGCGTCCCTAGCAGTTTAGATAAGTAAATTCGAATTTTACGTAATTTTTAAGTATGTCGTGAATTCGAATTTTACGTAATTTTTAAGGGTTTTCAGTTTTCGCACTGGACCCTAAACATTTCCAAAATAAAATATATCCTATATGCCCTAAATACGAATTTTACATAATTTTTAAGACTTCGATTTTCAATAAAACATCCTATATGTACCCCTACAAACTGATCTATCTTTCAATAAAAGTCCCATTACAATCAGTTTAGCCGTTTCCAAGATTACCCGGAACAAACAAAAACACAGATAAAAAATTAAAAATGGTAGTTTAGGTACTGGTATCATATAAAAAACTATGTACTTGAGAAAACAGTTTGAAATCTCAGACAGACACTTCAATTTTATTCACATACTAGCATTGCCCGCGGCTCCGCCCGCGTTCAGATTACCAAAAACCAAATTCTTAGGTTTTTCATTTTAATACACTTACATTGCAGTTTTTGTATTTTTTTTTCAGAAATAAGACATTTTCCTGTGGTAAAAAGTATCCTATATGTTGACCCGGATAACCAGATATCACTATACCAAATTTCATCAAAATCCTAATGGTTTTTCTGTGATGCGGTAACAGACAGACAGACAAACAGACAAAAATTCTTTCTAAAAACTGTAGATTCGGCCTCTGTATCGATAATAATGTTTATTTCAATAAGATTTTCCAAAAAATATTTAATGTACAGATTCGGCTTAGTTACAATTTTATTATATGTAGAGATATGTATAGATAAGTAAAAAGCGATAATAATGAAGACAAGAAAATAAAAGACATAATAGATAATTTAAAAATATTTAATTAACAACAATATCACATTATTACCCTACATTTTAATATATCTAAGAAAAGAAAAGATCGTTTACTTAGGAACTTACTCAACCTATTGGCTTACGACTACAATAATTGTGATATATTCTATAAATAACTAATAAAAATCATCATAAACCAACCTACATGGTACAAAAGGGGTTAAATAATATAAGTAAAAAATAATAATTTAAAATAGTAACATTGAACACGAAAGCTCTTTAAAGAAAAAAAAAACCAACAAAGAAATCAAATTCATTTCAAGCCAATAGATCGAGTTATTTCTTCGAACACCGTCCAAGCCATCGCCGCCATAAGAGTGCGCCGAATCATTCTTGGTACTGCGCCTTTGAAGTAACCTCGAAATCCGTAAGTCTAGAACAATTAGAAATAGAAATACATTATTTATGATGAACAATGCTACAATAAAATATATAAGCATTACATAATAATAGTACCATAAAAGTTAAAAGTTTCCGAATAACACACACATAGTATAGTTAGCCCTTCACGTTGAAACGGCTGGACGGATTTGGATGAAATTTTGTAAAACAGATATACTATGTATGATATATAGATATACTACCTGGAGTAACATATAGGTATATGCTAGGCATATGACCGAAAATTAAGAAAAGATAAGTTGCCGGCTACTCAATAAAAAAAAAGCAACGCCGCGCGAATTTGGTAGGTACTCGAACTTTTACTAAATTCTTTCATTTCTGAAATACTAAAAAGTTACTGAAATAATGATTCTGTACAATTTAAAAAAAAAAACATATTTTTTTGATTTGATTGTTGGAAATGAATGATTTACGCGATATTTCACACTATCTTTTCGGATTTTACTAACCGAACCAAATAACAATTAACTAAAATGCTTAGACATGGTCACGGGAGAGACCATGATCGCTGTAAAGCACCCGAAACGTCGGGACCCAAAAATCAAAATAAATTCGCGTAAATCTAAGAAAGTATTATTAAAATGTTTAGAAATAAAATACTTGCTAAACTAAAGAAACAAGAATTTTCAATAGCAATACACATAACTAGTTCATTATGTTAATTAATTTAAAAAAATATTTAAAAACGTGATTATAATATTTTCTTATAAAAAAAAACTGATAAAATACGGCTATATATCACGAGGCAATTACAATAAACGTTTAATGTCTTGCTAATTTAAAATTCTTAATTAACACGTCATAATATGATATCACTTGGTGATTGGTAGTTTTTAAGTGAAATAAGTGAATATAGATTTTTTTATACGTTTATCTACATACATTATTATTATCTATCTATATTATATATAATAATATTCTGAGTTGAATCTGTACATTAAATTTTCGGAAAATCTTATTGAAATAGTCATTATTATTGATATAGAGGCCGAAATTATAATTTTCAGAATTTTTGTTTGTCTGTCTGGTAACGCATCACGGAAAACAACTGGACAGATTTTGGTGAAATTTGATTTGATGATAGCTGGTTATCCGGATCAACGTATAGGATACTTTTACTGAGGAAAAATACCTCATCTCTAAGAAATCAATACTAAACGTTAAAAAGTATTATAAAGTGGATAAAATATGTACTTAGATAAGTTTGGATATATGGATGTAATCTCTGAAATTACTGATCCGATTCTGAAAATTCTATGACTACATATAACACTAAGATACATTATCGCCAAATGCTTTAGGTTATTTTTGAATCCAATAAAAATATAATTAATATTATCAAAACAATCTGAATGATATTACACATTAGGTTCAATTTTGAAATTTATTTTGTAATATTTGCTTTGTTTCGTGTGCTTGTAATAAATATAAATTATTACAGACAACTTCGTGATAAAGTAATAAAAAGAAGTGAAATATATCATTTTTTTAAGTTATACTTGTTTTAGCACGTTTGGAAAAAACTATGAGTATAGTATAACTTCTTATGTGCGTACATAAATGTACACACAGTACACACACATTTTTTTTACTTATTATTTTATACTAGCGACATGTCGCTTCGCTCAGATGCGTCCTTAGGTACCTACGTTTTAAATTGATAAAAACAGTTATTGCGAGTGTACCTTAGGAGATAGATATATCACAGAGTATATTAAATGAAAGATTTTCCTGTACAGGTATCCTAAATGTTGACCCCCGTTATCACTACATAAAATTTAGTAAAAATCGGTTCTGTACTTTTTAAGTGAAATTCTCACAGACATACAGACGTACAGACAAAAAATTCAATAACTATTGTTTTAGGATCTATATTCTTAAAAAAAAATTGGACGGTTATAAAAAATCTATACTTAATACATAGATACATTGTCTATTACTCTTACATCATTTCTTTTTAAAAATATTTGGAGTAACGATTGCGCTTGGTGTAAAAGTTATGTATATTTTAACGGGTAATCTTTATATTTAAGTATTACTAATCAAAATGTATTTGATAATAATGTTATCGACGCGTGCGACCACAGATAACTGTCAATTTCTTGGAAATATTATAATGAGAGATTAATGCTAAATAATGTACATATGACTGGAAATACAACGCAATATGATTCAAAATTATTACGGAACATCACTCCCGTTAGAATATACCTAAGCAAAAATGTTCACTGGACATTTATTAGCGATATGGCGAATTTAACATAATTTCTGCGTAAACATCATTATTTATATAGTGCCTTAGTATATAAAAGTTTAGAATTAAGTAAGAAGTAAAGAAATAAAAATCATCAATCCGAACTTGTTAGAATTTTCAAACACTTCCATGCCTTGAAAATTAAAAATGGATAGAACTACCTATTTTACGGAGAAATACGTATTAAATGCGCGCACTTAATTCGTGTCCAAAATACGCGCGGCTTGATCTCACCGGTCGTGTCGAGTAGTCGTCTCACCAGAATATGAGTGTGACAGGAATAGAGAGTGCACTATAATATCGCACGCTGGCTAGTCTCAAATCAGATTGACTGTGGGCTATAGCCGAAATCGATCGTTAGGATTTTAAATAAAACTATCTTTTCGAATTTTTTCGCGGACTTATTTTGACTAGTGATCGCCACGTGGTTGAAAATCAACCATAATTCCTTAAGTTTGATCGATATTGAGGTTCTATTCTCGATTTGACCACAGATTTTAACAAAAAACAAAAGAGTATATATGCGTGTTGTGTGTCAAATACATGGTAATGCGTGTAATTTATTGATTTATTCTATTTTTTTTGCATAATAAAAAAAAATATTAGCATTCTGCACTCCTTCTCTATATAAACTATAAGTGTAGGAAATTTCATACTCCTCCATCCACGCTTTTTTCGTAAAAAGGGGTACAATGTTTTTGCTTCACATATTAATATATAGATTTTTATTTCCCGACGTTTAGAATGCTTTACAGCGATCATGTTCACGGGATAGACTGAAGGCATCGTCTGTAACAACTTTATATAACCTTCGAGAAGGACGTCTAAAACCTTAAGAACCAAAAATTTAGTTTAGTCAGGACATCATTACTAGAGTATTTACCTGTTGCACATACATCGCAGCACTGAAAGCATTAGGGAACTTATCCGGATAGAGTTGCATGTTCGTCTTCAACACGTCTGCCGGGTTCGTCACTAGCGAGGCAGCTATACCCGCGACGACACCGCACGAGAAGTGCAGTATACTCGCCGTCGCTTGGGATTGAAGATATTCTGCGAATAAAGTAAATTTTATAATAAAACTAGATGTCTCGATATTCGTCATGTCCAAATTTTAATAAATATATGATCTTTGGATTCATAGAAAAAGTTCAGTAGTTGATATTTAAAAGAGCAACTGTTGAGTTTTTCGCCAATTCATCTCAGTTGAACTGCTGTCCGAGCTGGTGGTAGTTTCCTAATGGACTGTCTACACTGACACTTATATTAAATTGACAATTCAAAATGCTTGTAATAAGTCTAATTGAATAAAGTTTATTTCATTTCAATTTGTCCCCACCACTTTTCCGCTTATCAGCGAACAGTATTGTATTGTATTTAAATTTAATCATATTTAGATAAAATATGGGGATTTTTTTATATAAAATATATATTTTTTTATAAATCCACACGAAAATTATTCTAAAATGAGACACGCTTAAATCAAAAAAATAAATTCATTTTTATTACTTACATTAAAAAAATAAATCCATTAAGTATACTCGTAATAATTATTATTTGACCAATACCACTAAAACCATTTGTAAAATAAAAAAAAACTATATTTTTTATAAATCCAATTGAAAATTATTCCGAAATGAGACAAACTTAAATGAAAAATCAATACCATTTTTTACATAAAAAATATATATAAAAAAACCATTAAGCATAATAATCATATGACCAATACTATTAAAACCATTTATAAAATAAAACAAAATATAATATACATATTCTAGAATATATAATCGGCTTACCTTTAGGAATAGCCTGTTTCGTTTGTGTATAGAACATGAGGTATAAGCCTGAGAATGGCGCATCTCTCGCCAAAGTGGGTCCTAAGCCGCAGGACAATCCCCTTAGACCTTCCGCTTTGTATATCGATTTAAAGGCACCGCTTAGACTGTTATACTTGTACACTTCGGATTCGTATCTAAAATCAATAAAATGTAAAATTAGTTTCGATACAAATTTAAACTTAGCAATATATTTATTTTTGTACAGTCCTATTGTATATCTTATACCTAATATGAAATGAGCAATTCTTGTACATATATAAAATTTCGTTTTGTATCCCGGCAACTCGACTCAAGCGACTTGGATCAAATTTTGTATTTAGATAAGGTTTTGCTTAAGTTTATCTAAATCTTTTCTGAAAAAACTCAATTTTTCACAAAACAGAAATCTTATAATGCCACCTCGTAAATTTTAGTAGTATATTGTCGCTAAATTAAGGATGATATAACTACGGAACTCAGTTGCCCAAGTAGATAATTTATTTGAAACTAATAATTTCTTTATCCTTCAACGACCGCGGACACACCGGTGTTACAGTTAACAATTAATTTTTTAGAAATTTACCTGGAGGTATTATGACTAGTACCTGGCGTTTGCCATCATTTTGTTTTTTTTTCATAAGACACTTGAAGTTTCTTTATTTTAAATTAAGTATAAATATCATATTTATACGTGAATAAATAGATATATCAAATAGCAGAAAAACGACAAAACATCCTGATAGATAGTTTTTGTTTTAAACAAAATGTTAAAAAAATATTACTTACCTAGTTTTAATAACAGTAATCGGTATTAGGGCCACCCCACTCATGGTTCTTGCGATTACACCCAACGCAACCGCCTCCATAGCACCTAGATCCTGTCTAGTCTTTCCCATCTTGGACTTAAGCCAATGGAGTGATGAGAAGTATAAACCGACGCCTGGCACACATCTAGCTATAGAAGGCACCATACCACGCCATAGCCCAATTATATGCTCCTGACGAACGATGTTCACGAAGATTGAAATCATGCCGGGTTGGATTCGGCTGCTAAAAGTGAAATATAACTTATATTTATATCTAACTCATGTATTTTATGACACGTTTGGCTCAGTTTGTAGTAACCTTACTTGTTGTGACAGCGGTCGCGGGTTCGGGTCCCACTGGGGGCATTCATTTCTGTGATGAGCATGAATATGCGTACTCCAGTCATGGGTGTTTATATTTATATGTATATTCTATGTATTTAAAGTTATATATGTGTAGTGTCATCAACTAATTGTTATCCATAACACAAGCCTCGTAGCTTACCATGGAACTAGATGCTGCTGTATTTAAATGTCCCAACATATTTATATTTATTTTATAGGTATTTCGGTGGACATATTTTGGGTAAGATTGAAGTGGCAGAAAAATTTACATGTCTAAGCTATTTCACGTGACCAGCAAGTCATTTCTATATATTTTTAGTTTTCTATTATGGATAACGATGGAGAAAATTCATTTATGTTAGAGGGGTGCCCGTTACATAAGTTAATTTTCAATGGGGTAGGATTTCTATAAAGTTTAATTTATCTAAAAAAATGAATACTAATGAGATTTAATTCCTAATAACTAACAAGGTAGTGTTAACAAGCTATCTAAATGATCAACTTAGAAAGCAACAGTTATCACTTGTATGCTCATCAAAAAAGGGGCGACGATAAACGACAAATAGTTACATTGTCACAAACAAAGTCTACATTGTACACTGTTACCAACCATGGACCATTTTCGTTATTATCTTCTTAAATAAAGTATACATTTATAACATTTCTTAATGGTTTTCTTAATTAATCATCATATTTGGTGATAGATTTTTGGTAATTCTTACTTGATAGTCGCTGCAACAACATGCTGGCCAGGATTTTGGAGCCTAGTTTTCACCAAGTCCAATGGCTGGAAGAGAATTGTACTGAAAGTGCCGGAAAAGGAACCAGCGAGGAACGCCTTGAAGACAGGGTGGTACTGTAGACAAAATAATCACCTATAGGTAAATGACATCTAATTAAAAATTTAATTAGCTTGATCATGAAAAATATGAATAACATTTTTAGGTAAAATAATTATTCTGATAACATATCGCCATCTTACACAAACTTAATAAACAGTCATTGGCATTTGATCTTCAATATTCACAAAATTGATATAAAATACCTAAGTCACGTTCTTTGTAGTTACTTAAGATACACTTTTGACCTATTTGTCTCACACGAGCGTGGTGTGACTTAATTGTACCGATAATACGAATCTCATATGATATATGTATTTTTAAAAAGATAAATAAGACTGTTAAGCAAAATTAATGTTTAAAATATTTGTGTTACTAGCCAACAGATGGCGGTGAGACTTACATTAGCCACGACATCCATTTTCTTAAATTTGTTGCCTGTTCTTTTATTTCTATAATCTTAACGTCAGGTGATATCCTTTGAGTATACTCCGAATTTGTAGTATTCAAAATGATAGAGCCAATGGCACAAAATTAATTTCAGCTGAAAATGCTGAAGGTGTCCTAAATTGTATCCGAGTAGTCCGAGTAGTATATAGGGTTGATTCGGTACTTCAAAGTAATTATCATTTTTTCGATCAGTTCGCTCAAAAAGTAATGCATGTAGGCAATCGCCAGATAGAATTTTAAATAAAAATATCTTGGAATTCCTTAAAATATTACAGTCCAATATCTTTAAAAACACGAAACAACTAACACGGAGAGAGAAAATCACTGTAATTCGCGAATTTAGCCATCAGGGAAAGTATGAAGTTTAAAATTTGTTCAACGGCACTTCAACCCGAGTTAAGATAAACGTGTGTCAAAGTACGCGTGTGATTAAAGACTGACAAAGAATGAACGGCGTAACGCAATTTAATTAGGTAATTTATAGGCAATATTATCGGCTGTAGACTGTTGTGGGTGAGTGAGGGCTAAGGTCAACCTGACCTAATGATAGCGGCTATCTGTGTCATGCTAACTAGGGGGTATAGTTATAAACATTCACTTATCAGACCAACAAGGATATGTATTCTTAGAAATTATTGTATTTTGCAAAGTGATAAATTTTCAACAGTTTTAAGTTAAAAAATAAATTTTCCAAAACATTTATTCATTAATATTGGCGAAAAAATATCTACTCGTTTCTTATAACTCTCACTATAGGTCACTAAAGGACTTAAATTAAATGAAAATAAGATTTTGAGGCGATATCACCCATAGCACAATATATTTCATCGAAAAACATATTGATGTCAGCTGTAAATATTATGTGATAAACAAGACGTAATCAGTAATTTCTAAACATACACGTTATACGTATTGAACGCGCGTATATCTTTGTAGGCATTTCATAATACAGAAAAATATGAATATTTCTACATTATAATTTTAGTCAGTAAACATAATTCAATTTATATTCTGCTAACGGCATGTCCTCGCTCCGCTGGGGTGCGTCCCTAAGTATGTTTAAAATATGTTGATGTGAATAGGCAATCATCTTTTTAAGATACTCAGGTCATATAAGATACATATTATAAATATTTGACGATACGTTTGACTCAGTTTGTACTTGCGTGCCAGCGGTCGCGGGTTCAAGTCCCGCTGGGGATGGGCATTAATTTGTGTGATGAGCATGAATGTTTGTACTCCAATCATGAGTCTTTATATTTATAATATGTATGTATTTAAAAGTTATATATGTGTAGTGTATCAACTATCTGGTATCCATAACACAAGCCTCGTAGCTTACCAAGGAACTAGATGGTGTTGTGTTAATGTCCCAACATAAAAAAATGAAGGACAGGCTTGTGCAAAAATTTAAAATATCTTTTTTGTATAAAAATTCGTATTTAAATATTATATACATTGCAAAAAAACTGTTTTCCCTATATAACATGGCCATAAATAATATACCTAATACAAAGCAAAAGATTTTTCTTAATTTTCAAATTTAGCTTCGTTGTGCTCAACTTATATTATTTAGTTATAAAATTACAAAAGTTTATATTTGTTTTTCAAATTATAAATTTATCATTATTTAATAAAACCATCATCAAATTTACTTATTTCAATAATTACATGTTTAATCTTGTATAAATAATAATTAAGATTGTTTAAGTAGTAGGCAAATTTGAGTATTATTTATTTCTATTCTCTCAGATACAAATTTATATTAGTATTACTTAAATAGGTACTTGCTATAATTTGGTATATATAATGATCATGTACATACAAAAAAAATATGAACTTCTTACAATCTATGTCTAATAAATTATACGTACATAAAAATATTTGGAAGTTTTTGATTGTGTGCTTATTTATTTACATGTAATTGCTTCTATCTTAATATTTATAATGTGATTTTCTATAGCCTTCCTCAACAAGTAGGTTATTAAGTGCAAAAAGATTTTTTTTCTTTGTGGTAAATCTTGGTATTCTCATTAATTAACACACTAACACAATCAAATTCTCAGTTTTATAGTACATACCTATATTAGTTACTGATATTAATTTCAACCTCTGTTATATATTGCCAAATAAATATATGAAATATTACAATAATTATAATATATAATAATAACAACCCACATGATCCTGGAATGCGACACACTGGCATCAATGCAAAGTAATCCTCGGATCAGTGAGGCTTCTCCGGGAAGACTGTGAAGTTCCCAGGAAACTTCTGTGCTTCTGTGTGGAGCTGGGCTGGCTAGATTAACCAGAATTCATGATGCACAACGGACCAACTTAGAAATTAAGTGCGGAAAATTGAGTCCACCTTACATTATCACAATGATTATATTTATTAGAAGTGATCTTAATAGATAAATATATATTATTTACCCATGGGACATTAATTTTATAATATTATTATTAATAATTTTAGCATTGAATAACTTCTTGTGGAACTGTACAGTGAAAATAAAAAATATTATCTTTACCTGACCCTGAAGACAAGTTGCCATTTGGTGTGCTACAAACGTGTTATTTTATCGTCAAGTAACCTAACAAAGTAATACTTGTTTACTTACCAGAGAATATCACAAATGGTGATGCCATAAAAACAATTCTTTCCGGAACTTTGATAAGGGATAATTAAAAGTTCGTTGGAGGTAAACAACACAAGGGGATCACTTAGGACACTCTTATCAAGACAAACAAGTTCGCAGGGGGCCTCACTTACGTCTTTATCAGGGTTGTTGAGGTCAACAGGCGCTGCAGTGTCTATCGCCCATCCATTTGAGCATGCCTCTAGCATTTGCGACATTACAAATATTTATATCATAGTAAAATTATAAATTAGTTTAAATAGACGCATTTTCGCGTTAGTTTAGTCAGAGTTTAGACTTTAGACATAATATTTTCATAATTTATTATTTTGACATTTTTTTATCAATAGTGTAATACATACGTCAAGTATAAGTCATGACTATTGACATTTGACTTTGACATTTCTATGTCGTCTATAAAAGTCCACGAAGATTGTTTTGTGATTGGCAGAATATTTATCGGATGATAACCATTGGCACATTTATAAAAAACCCTAGATGCACAGTTTATAACAAATATCTCTTAAAAATGTGGCGTCGAAACGTGACGTAAAGATAAACTAAAGAAAAAAAAACCCAAAGATCGCATGTTATGATTGTCTAAACTCTACACACAAATTCGAATTTACACTCACCAATCAATAATTCGAAGACGTAACAAAAAAAAAATTGAATTTTGAAATAATCTTTAAAAAGAACCAAGATACTCTTAATTTATTTTATTTAATTAACAAATTTATTATCATTAAACGACATGGAATGAATTGGCATGAACTATGTATTTAAAAAAATAATTGTCTTGAAACCTTTGTAAATAAAAAAATAGTAACAACTGCGTAGGAATTGGTAAGATCTTAAAATGAGAAATGAGAATGAATTCTATCAATAAATAAAAATTTATGTAATGCTGTTCGTTGGTAAGAGCATTACTAGGTAGAACATGGTTCAACCAAATTGCTTGCGAATTGATAATTTTTTCTATAGGATCTTTGTATGAAATTAAAGGTGACAAACTTATTGGAATTGTGAAATATGACTAGACAACGTCTGTCGGGACAGCTAGTATATCTACTAACTAAACTTACAATCAGATTATAATTAATTAATTACTTATTAATACTCTAAGTATGGAAATGAAATTATTTATAACGTAACAAATAATACTTCCATATTAGTACTTATTTCAATATCAGACAGTGTGGTAATTATTTCCGTTTTTTAATGTCCTATTTATGCCTACCTAATGATATAATATAGAAAGTTAAATGTAATAGAAAGTAAAGCGCTATCTTCAGGACCGGCCTTAACCATCTGGGCGCCCCGGGCGAGTCATGCCTTTGGCGCCCTTTTAAGTATACTTATTTCATTACAATTAAAAAAAACGTATATGTAGAATTATTTAGTGAGAGATACGATAAAACGCTGAGTCTAGTTTTCCTTTAGATCGATAAAAATAAGTATTCAAATTAAATGGTTAAGTTGAGTTGGCGCGCGAAGCGCACTGTATAACCTGGCGCCCCGGGTAGCCGCCCCGGTCGTCCCCCGTAAATCTGGCACTGGCTACCTTATTATTAGTTAAGTACCTTATAAAAACGGTTTTAAATAAAGTTTTTTATATCTTAAAAAGTCAAAGGTGTTTTATAAAATTTCAGTTCTAAGAAACCATTAAAAAATTAATAAGTCTTAAACCAAAAAAATAATACGTTAAAAGTCAGAGTAATAACACTATTAAAACAACATCAGTTTCCGTGTGTCTTAAGGTTATCATCTTGAGTTTAGATAATAAAACTTAGGGGGTAACGACTAACGCGTGATGGACATCAAAATATTACAACGCAATTAATTAATTTATAAAAAAAATACTTTTTATCATAAATATTTTAATTGGCTAATATTCTACATCGCCATCATATCGCCTCAATCATTATATAACTCGTTGAATCTTAAATTCATATAAATTGTAGGCATGGTATCATAATATCTGTTTTAATAAGTAATTCGTTTGTTAATTGTTACAATTGAGGAGCGTCAGAACAAAAACCGATAAACCACATTTTGAAAAAAAATTTATGATGCCAATTGGTTGTTCTCGTACATATCTTGCTCTATGGTTAATGAAACCTGGTCGAAAACTGATAAATCCGCTCTAAAATTAAATCCTTCCGCGAAATACCCGAATCTGAACATAAACCGATAATTACATCAACAACAACAGATACCGATAAATCCTTAACATTTTTCATTGTTGACTCTTTTGATTCTGTCAAAAACCGATGTTCGAGTTTAGATATTATATCCTACCTACAGTGTTTTATCAAAAACCGATATATTGATTGATTGATTGATTTGGTCAATAGCCGATATATCCATTTTCTTTTTTTTTATAACTCAACAGGTACCACAGTCACGAATGTAGAATTTAGGTTTTCAAACAGTGATGCTACCAACACACCAATAAATTGATAGATTTCGTATAATTCTAAATTTGAAAACCATGAACTTGACCATATTTTTACATTTTCCCACAAAATACACAAATGTGATTTATCGGTTTTTGTTCCGACGCTCCTCAATTATTATTACGTACGCGGTATATAGGCACGGTAATATTTGCATTATATTACCGTGACATAGGTAATATTATGTATACCTACTTTGTTCTATGTACAGGAATATCTCCTAATATTTCAAATAGCAAACACGCACGTACGGGTGTGAATATAGAATTAAATTCAAATAAAATTTCATTACTGTGTTTGTTTTTTTGTTATTTAAAAAAAGTGCTATTAATCTTAAATAAATAAAATTAACCTTACCCGATTGGATATAACTTGTAGAAATAAAAAGATTTAATTCTTACACTACATATGCATAGGTAAAAGAAAATTGGCGAATGTTTGTCTGTACGTTAATTCAAGTTAATCTCAAGAACTATTGGACGGAATGATTGGTTGCGGATTTTGTCATTGTCATTTTGTTACCGGTTAATTTAGATAATAAAAAAATATTAAAATAAATTGTGATTTTTAATAACATAAAACCGACATCAAAAATTGATTCAACTAGGTAGTTGTAGGTTTTATTTGTCATCCATGGTAGTAGATACCTATTTAATGGTTGTTAATTGTTATTACGTTTCAATTGTTTTCTGAACTAACACAATTTTTAACAAAAAAAAATACATTTCAGCATAGGTATTTTAGCGCTGATTAAAGTACCTAAGTATCTACCGACAAAATCATAATACAATTTAACTAACAATAACTAGTATAGTGTTATATGATCTGTGCAATAACTATAGGTATATACTCTACATACAAATAATTCAACTGCATTAATTATAAACCGTATTTATTTGCTCATTTTCAATCGATTCTAATCATGAAAAGTGCTAATAACAATTCTGCAAACCGTTTCTTTATAGACGGACGATGTCATTTATTAATCATTTTCAAGCTCTGGTAACAAAGGCACATTACCTTCAATTAATATGTATAATGTAACAGATTTATTTATACTCTGCCTCATCACGGCTCCTCTGATAAGCCGATCACGCATACCTAGAACTTGAAACACACGTTAAAAGGCTTTTATATAAATAGGTAGATGAATATATAAGGATTCTTGCTTAGATAATGCTTAAAGGTTAAAGATGGCTTATCCCGTAAGTCTTTATATCTGTACATATAATAAAATTGTAACTAAGCCAAATCTGTACATTAAATATTTTTTGGAAAATCTTACTGAAATAGACATTATTATCGATACAGAGGCCGAATCTGTAGTTTTTAGAATTTTTGTCTGTCTGTCTGTTACCGCATCCCAGAAAGACCACAGGAGGGATTTTGATGAAATTTGGTATGGTGATAGCTGGTTATTCCGGGCCCAACATATAGGATACTTTTTAAAATATCCCATTTCTGAGAAAAAATACAAAAGCTGCATTGTAAGAGTATACAATATGTAAAATCTAAGAATTTGTGTTTTGGTCATCCGAACGCGGGCGGAGCCGCGGGCAATGCTAGTTAATTAATATGCTTTGATTTTTTATTGCAATTTATATATTAATAATTAAGAACTAATTATATTATATTTATGATAAAAATGAAAAAAGTCAAATAGTATTTAGATTTTTTAAAGTATACAATGTACGGCTAAGCAGCTAAACTATCGTTTCAAGGGTATTTTTAGCTCACAATCTCTTATGTAGTATTTTTATAAGCATCAAAAAGTTGTATATTTTCTACTTGTATGATATTACATAGAGAATGAATGACATCTCATGTTGTACCTACTTACTTTCGATTTGTACTTATTGTTCAGCTTATACGGTAGGAAGGTTGAAAAATGTATAATGAACATGTTCGTAATACAGACTGTTCATCTCCACTTCAATGTTAATAAAAACCGTTAAGGAGAGGTAAAACCGAGATAGAATACAAACTTTTGTCGCATTGATTTATAAATAAATTTTTGAGAACCTTGTATTGTAGCTCCACTCGCAGGGTAAGAGGGACAGGGATAAAAGGTAGCCTATATCCGTCTCTATGGTACAATTTTTATCCTTGCCAAATTTCATCAAAACCTGTACAACGGCTTAAAAATGTAAACGTAACAGTAATTTTCTCAATTGTAATATTTGTATGTATTGAATTCATGACTTTTACGGTAGGTAGTGAACATAGAGTGCTCTGTGCCGTACTGCGTTGGATCACCACTATTTATAGAAGATATTCTAGAAACAGCTGTTATATACAAAATAAATAATAAAAAAAATTAAAAAAAACCCGACCGCATAAAAAGCTAACTGAAAAGATAAGAACAAGTTGACAAAAGAACATAGTAGGTACCTATTATGCATTCGGAGACATTGTATAGTGTATATTCTAATAGCAAGATATTTATATTTTAATAGCGAGACCACGGCATTGTTACAATAATAATACCGTGGCAAGACTCACAGCCAGTAGAAAACTTTCTATCTTTTTACGCAGTCCGGTTTTTTTTTAATTATTTTTTTATTTGTAGCTTTTTAGTTTTGGTCAGTTAGACATTTTTAGTTTTACTTACTTAACAATTTTTTATCCTAAATTATTTTTAAATATGTAAGTTGATAATACCCCATCCGATTGATTTAACGGAAAAAAATTTAAGACACAAATTGGCGTCTAAGATTTGTCATTTAGATTTTTAATGATATATATATATATATATGTATCCTATAACACTCGCGTTATCAATTTGTGACGTTTAATAGTTACGAGGGAACATAGCGTCTGATATACATACATATATTAAGGTCAAAAACATAATCCTCCTTTAGGCTTCACCGTAGTCGGATAAAATATTGCATAAAACGAAAATTGCGAATTCTCTTATTATTTCAATAGTATCCAAGTCATTTCACTAGCTTAGTGGGATTGGCCGCCATGTACGAAATCAGTGTGGACATTTTTTATTATCATTACAGTTACATTAACTTATGTTTGTGACATTGCCATAAAAAATATTTAATTTTATTTATGAATAACCTTGGGCAATTTTTATATCTATTTAATTTAAATTTTAAATATTTAACTAGCGATTCACCCTCGCTCCGCTCGGGTTCGTCCCTAGATACATTTTAAAATTTAGTATCGATTTCTCAGAGATGAGATATTCACCCGCAGTAAAAAGTATCCTATATGTTGACCCGGATAACCACTATCATTGTACTAAATTTTATCGTGATGCGTTCTCAGACAGACAAAAATTCTAAAAACTATAGATTCGGCTTCTGTATCGTTAATAATAACAATTTCAATAAGTTTTTCCAAAAAATATTCAATGTACCTACTGATTCGACTCATTTAGAATTTTATTATATCATTATATATATAATTCTTCTGTGAGTGTGTATGTCACTGAACTTATCTCAAACGACTGGACCGATTTTGATGAAATTTTTTGTGTGTGTTCAAGGGGATCTGGGAATGGTTTAGATTCACAATTTGAGCAATAATTTTCATCAAAATGGTCCAGAATGTTTTAGCTTATTAAAAAATGTTTGAAATTTTCAAATTAAAGACGTGTAGAGAGGACAACGTCTGTCGGGTCCGCTAGTGTAATTATAATGTATAGATTAAATAGATATAAAAACTGCCTGGCGTTATATTTTTTGAAGTAATAATTTTAGGTCCTATGTTAAGAATTTTTTTTTAATATAATATAATCTTTCGAAAAAAGTATACAGTGGTAAAAGAAAACACAAATATTTTACATTACTTATTTATTCTACGTACTTCCACAAAGTCTCAATGTGCTACATGAAACTTACACAAAACTTACGTAAATTACTCGTCATCAATACAATAACTATAAGAATAGATGTATTTATATACGATAAATATATGGAATGAATAGTTAATTTTAATAAATAATTATCAAGGAATTCTTGATTTAATAGAAGCTTATGTTAGTCACCTTCGAAGAAAAAAACCCCTATGGGGCGGGAAGGCACATCAAAATTTTAAATATAATAATTAAAAAAAGTTTTTTTTTTCAAGTCTCCATGTGTTGGCACAGAAAAACTGTAGATACGAATTATATTTAAAAAAATAACTAAAATATAGACTCGATTTGTTTATTTAACAATCGCAATACAAATAACGAAAAATATTAACGTTATTAATTTATAAACAATTATTATTTATTTTTAAGGGTAAAAAAACAGTATAATAAAATGATTACTTGTGTTTTTTATAATTTTATATTTTTTTGCTTGATTTTTTTCTTTGATTTTGTTTTCCCGTTATTAATCGAGTCAATACATTTAAATACCTATGCTATGTAAGTTAAAATATTCTACACATTTGTCAATATTTGAACAATACAAAAATAAATTCCGAAACTTGGAATAAATTGAAAATTAACACTACTTTGAACAATTACGGCTGATTGATTAAATGGAGATTCTCGGAATGATCTAGAATAATTAAGTATTAACTATTTCATTTTATAAGTACAATATATCCAATACACTAACGGAATGATTTTATTGTTTCTATTTACGTCTTTTAGTTATATTTTTTTAATTAGTAGAAAAAAGTCGCTTTGGAATGTAAGATTTTTAAGATAATAATTTTTTGATGTTGTATTTAAAATAATTATAGTTAAAAAAATATTATAGAAGTTTTTTAAGCATAATTGTGCAAATAATGAATATTCTCCTTAATAATCACTAAATTAATTAATTTTAAGACATTGTATTTTTTATAGCATCACAAAAAATATAAGCGACTTTATTTTACTAAATGTCAAAAAAATCACAAAATTGAATATGGCGTGACATAACACATTTCGTCCTTTTCTCTGCACCGTTAAACTATTATGTTAGAAAGAGACAACTATATGTTTGAACCATTTTAAAGCTTTACATGTGTCTCGTGTTGCCGAAATTGATACCGCTTTGATTGGCACCTTTATTAGAGCCGTATTGAAGGGAGATGACTCCTTGACCCGCTCTAAGCTGTTCCTCAGTGAAGTTCCGTACGTTCTTCTCGGCTTCTTTCGGGCCTATTGATGGTTTGCCGTAGTTACCCGCCTAGAAGAAATAAATGGTTACACGTTAAATCGTTATTTTATTACTAACTAGCTCACTTCTCCATACAAACTTTCACCTCCTTAAGGGATGATTTCAGGGATAAAAACTATCCTATGTCCTTCCCAGGGTCTCAAACTATCTTCTTATTAAATTTCATCTAAATCTGTTCAGCAGTTTCGGAGCCTATTCGATACAGAGAAACAAACAAAAAAATTTTTTTTCCACTTTATAATATTAGAATAGACAAGCCACCAGCTCTGGATTCGCAGGGAAATTGTCACAGATATATAAATAAATAAGTTATATATACTAAATATATACCCATAAATAACTTATTGGTTGTTTCATTTCCATTTAGATTAATGTACTTAAATATTCGATACAACTTGCGTCATCTATCGTAGGTACGTTGATAATACTAAATTAGAATATAAAGAAACATATTATGTATATTATAAATAAACATATATTACTTATTGTTTAGATTAATTTAATATTTTGGAGTGTAGAAAGTGTCAAGTTCACTTTAAACTTAAAGTACTCTTGAGAAAAACGACGAATCTATACATAAACATTAAATAGGCAAAGACACAATTATAGTTCAGTAACTTTTATTCCTCTCTGTGTCAAACGATGTTCTTTCTTTTTTTATTTATATTAGCAGCTACTGATGAGTTTTAATGTTATTAATATAAGGATTTTAGAAATACTTAGTTTTTTTAAAATTTAAATAGTATTATATTATTAATTCTATTCATGTTTTCGATAATGGCTGGTCGAATTTTGACTACTAGGCGAACAATAGCATATCGATATAAACAAGTAATATACTTTGCCTTACTTTATCCTATGTGTTACTTCAGGTTATAGTCTGTGTACCTATTTTTCATCCAAATCCATCAATCCGAGTAACATTTACAATAGTATTATGGTACGAAATTTAAAATCCTACTAATATTATGTTAAAGTTTGTGGGGATGGCTGGATGGATGGATGTTCGTTACTCTTTTACGCTAAACCGCTGAACGGATCTGGATGAAATTTTGGCACAGAGATAGATTATAGTCTGGAATAGCACATAGTTTACTTGTTATCTTGGAAAAATGTACGGTTCCAGTGGGATAGATTTGTTTTTGGGACTTAGTATCTTATGAAATTACCTTTCTACCCAACGACTGAAGGCATATAACAACAGAATTTAAGTTCTGTCTCTCCCATAAGTCCACAGTCTGGAATGTTTCTTGTGCGGGCACTCCGAACTGCTTTGCCGCTTCCAAAAACGCGTTTATATTTTCCATGCATTTGAACGCCATTTTCGACTCGTTGATTTTCTTCACGATACCAGGTTTTAATTGGTTGGCGAGTCTGGAATTAAAGACAGAAATCTAATTAGATACCTTTAAAAGTTTTAACCTAAAGGATTTTATAAACACAAACTTTCTTTTTAATATATAATATATTGAAAAGAAAATTTGTAGCAGTTTATACATATACTATTTTAGAATTTGCGTTGCGTCAGAACAGACACCTATAGAGATAAAAATAAAATAAAAATTTTATCTAAATACAAATTTTGATCTAAACCATTAGAGCCGTTTCCAAGATACACGAAATAAATTTATATGTACATATAGACAAGAATTGCTCATTTATTATTATAAGATGTAAGGCAATTTCATTGACTTGATAATGTGATCGACATATACATTATCGTGATGGAAATTTTAGCGAGAAGCAAAAGTGTACTTCCAGGTTCAAAAGCGTGTTGGACTATCGCATGATCCTTCTCCCAATAAGGAAGAGGCCGTGCCTACCAGTGGGACGGTAAAAAGGGTTGAATGAGTGAAGTTATTATATAAAAGCAAAAACAGATCTATCCCACGGGAAGCGTTCTGTTTTCCGGAATAAAAAGTAACCTGTTCTTTGACCTGCAACATAAAGTATCAGCATGTCAAATATTACTAAATTAGGTGCATAAGTTGTTGTGTAATAAGCTGTACAAGTTATTATAGTTTTTTAACTATCCCCCAGGAACTCTTGAATTTTTCGAGATGAAAAGTATCTAAAATGTTGACCAGGTATATAAGGTATCACCATGCAAAATTTTATTTAAATCAGTCCCAACAGTTTCGGAGATTAGCCCATACAAAATGGTTAAGATTTAACAAATGTTCGACGTGATTCTTTAAATTGGCATAACTTTTTTATTTATAAAACGATTGATATGAAACAAACACTAAATGCTTAGAGAACCTTACCACAATATATTAGTGAAAAACACATCTTAATCGGATAAGCCGTTTCTGAGATTAGCGTGATAAACGCACAGACAAACAGATAAACAGACCAAAATTCTAACAATCATTGTTTTGGATGCTATTTGCGTTGATAAAGGTCCCAATAATATTTCTTCTCATATATCTAACATGTACAGACAGCGATCCGTTACATTTTTATTATACGTATAGATATAGATAACTGATGAATTAATTTCTGACATACAGGTAAATACTAAACAATAACTTACTAGTAGCATCAATATATTAGATAACAACAAGAACTAAATAAAATCTGTTAGTTTAGACTTAATAGCCGTCATTAGGGATTCCTTTAGTGATTCTATCACTAGGTCAGATAGTACGATTATTGTAATGACATTAGACAATTATTGCATACATTTGCAAAGCTTCAAATCAATAAGACTTAGTTATATATGTTAATCTTATTAGTTTTAAAAATCTGTAGTATAGAGTTTTATGTAAAAAGTTCGAATTTTTTCTCAAATTTTCTTAAAAATTGAATAATTTTCCCTACTTTTAAGGTACAAAATTACTGTTTTTTTTTTCAGTTTTCTACGAAGTATCTCGAGCTAGCTCTATTTCATACTAAGTTTCAAGAACAAAACTATTAATAAACTTGAAGGTTTATTTAATTAGTTGTATGCTAAAATACAATTAAACGCAATAAGAATAAATATCACAATAGGAAAAACTTGTAACAAAATAGAAAATGTATTTTTGTTGCAAAAAAACTGTTTTTTTTTTAAGTTATACTTCTTTTAGGACGTTTAGAAAAAATCATGAGAGTAAAATTTTTACGATGCGCGCGCACACCGACAGCCAAAAAGCGACATGATGAAGTTAGCTGCATTCTTTGTACAAAGAGAGATTTGTGACATACGGGATAAAATCTTTAGCTATTTTTGTTCTGTTACGCCAAAGAAGTATAACTTCTTACGTGCGTACATAAGTATCTACACACACACGTTTTTTTATATAGACAAAGTCAAGCGACGTCCTTTATATTATTTAGTAATACATTTGGAATTCAGTAGCCATCTTTAAATAGGAAACGAATTGATATCTGCATAAAGTATTTGCTATGTAAATAGGACAGTTCCATTACACACTTATCTTGTATTGCAAAATAAACACGTCAAATGGTAGTGAGCGATGCTGGTCAGGCTTTACGACAGATCACGATCCGACGATTTGTCGGTTTTAACTATTGCTTGCCTTTAACTAGAATGTTAGAAATACATAATATATTAGTGTACTATGTATTATAGCGGTTTATTTTTTATAGTACCTGATGCTGTTTTTTATCTCGTTAAGTTGATTTTTTATGATAATATAAAGTCCGTTCTAAAATAATTAATTATTATAATTAGTATTTTTACTGAGAAAAAGTGGACCGACTTCAAAATCATTAAAGTAACTATTTCAGCCTTAGTGTATTCATAATAAAATATGGGACCAATCTTGTAGTATCTATTCATTAAAATAGATTTAGAAGACAATTCGGAAAGATATCACGTGATATACACACAATAAAAACAGCTGAATTGAGTACCTTCTATTTTTTTAAGTTGATCAAGGTAAAGCTTTTCGTTACTAATAAATAAATTTATTTCGGTATCAAAACCGAAATACAACATTTCTCTAAGAATAACTGTTAACCATTATTATTTCGGTTTACTAAACCGGTTCCGAGCTCTGTCTGTTCCCTTTAGAGATGTTTTTTCTTATTATTTCTTAATTAAATATACAAATAATATAAAATTGCAATGCAAACTATAAAATAAATTTAATTATTGTTGTAGCATTACAAACGATACGTACTTGCACAGAACAGTTCCGTCTTTAAGGACTTCATAGAAGTTGTCCATATCACCAGATGTGTTATCTGGCTCGCCGGTGATTAGTCGGATCCATTCCAAACATTCCTCTGCCAGTTCTTCACTGTATTTGCTGTTGATCTATAATTAAAGGAAATATTTGACTTTAAATTATTTTGCTTCATTAAAGAACGAATTGGGTAAGACAAATTCGATAGTTTGCGTAGTTTGTAGGATTGTGCAGGGTATTCATAATACTTTAATAATAGTAGTGTGTGTGGAATGAGGCAGATAAAACATATTTTATCTGCCTCACAACATACTTGTTTTTAAAAATAAATAAAAAAAAATTATTTTCATAAACACTTCTATCGAATCAAGCAAGGAGTTTGGTAAGCAAACTTGTACAATTAGTATTAAAATGTAGAACAGGTACGATTTTCTAGTAATCCCGATTATAGGGAATATATATAGGGAACCTTCATATGGCATATTCTTTTTCATTAAATCTATCTATACTTAAAATAAAATTGTAAATAAGCCGAATCTGTACATTAAATATTGTTTTGGAAAATCTTATTGAAATAAACATTATTATTCATTTTCGATGCAGAGGTCGAATCTATAGTTTTTAGAATTTTTGTCTGTTTGTCTGTCTGTCCGTTACCGCATCACGGAAAAACCACTGGAGGGATTTTGATAAAATTTGGTATGGTGATAGTTGATTATCCGGGTCAACATATAGGATACTTTTTACCGCGGGAAAATATCTCATTTCTGAGAAAAATACAAAAACTGCATTGTAAGAGTATACTAATATGTAAAACCTAAGAATTTGGTTTTTGGTCATCTGAACGCGGGCAGAGCCGCGGGCAATGCTAGTACAGAATAAAGCAAAACTCAATATCTCTTTGCTATATTACGATAAGCTCTTTTTTGGTTTTATTTATTAAATATGCAAGAATAATATAAGAAATTGTATAGATATATCACAAAAAAGAAAAAACTATCGTCTCTTATTAGACAATCATTTTTTATCTGCTTAAACTATCTTTAATGAAAGAATTAGTCTTTGGACAAAAACATTACAACATATTATATTAAAGTTATGGTCACGAATAATACTTATACCATTTAATACAAAATAGGCGTTACCAAGTAGGCAGCTATTGATAAGCTCCCATTATTCATTTATCCATTTCCAACAATTTTAAGCTGTCATACTCAAATCTAAAACGAGGTTCTTACATCATCGAAATAATTTTGTAGGCATACTAACACATTTGTCATAGCATAATCACTCATTGTGTCTATCGTACGAATTGTTATTCAGCGTACTTTTAATATAGGGATAAACTTACAAATTTAAGGCAGTGATAGCCCAGTGGTAACGCGCTCGCTTGACAAACCGAGTGAAGCGGGTTCAAGTCCCGGGTCTCACACCTCTGATATTTTCATGTGCGAATCATTTTCAACATCTCCTTATGGTGAAAGAAGTGAGGAAACCTAAATGTTTGAGAACCTAGCAAATTTTCCTAAGAGAATTGACGTCCGTCAACTTGCTCTTGGCCAGCGTGGTGGACTATGGTCTGATCTCCCTCGTATTGAAGGGAGGGTGGCCCATGCCCAGCAGTTAAAGGGCGGAATACAAACATACATTTCAAATTTACAATAATATATCATATTTATATTAGTTTCCAAACAGGTACAGGTACAGGGTGCGCTAATAACACTAAAAGGAAGTAACACATAGACAAGATAATAGTCCAAGTGTTATTTTAGTGCATATCAAACATTATCTAAGAACATAGACATATATACACAATTTGTTTTACTATTATATATTATTTTATAAATATATTATTTACTAGCAGTACTCGCGGCTTAGCCCGTGTAAACTTCTGATCGCTAGCAAACTTCACAGTATCACCTGCTGGTCTCATCAGAAGATTGCCTCGAAATTTCATCAATATCGCTCCAGCCGTTTTAGAGTCCATACGGAATACACATACACACATTGAATTTTATATACATACATACGTACCTACTATATGTACGGTTAAGGTTAGATAAAAAAAGTTAAAAATAATGTAAAATAACGCCCGTTCGCGCGTTTGCCCGCGCGACTGGCAGCATTACACATAGGGTCTGCTTCTACTTCCAAATAAAAAAAAATCAAATATAACTTAATCTATAGCACTTCTGGAACCGCAAAGAATATTTAAAAAAAATCATTGAAATTTGTTGGATATCTTTTTAGTTAAATCCGTTCAAACATACAAACAGAGAACTTTATATAATTAGTATAGATAAAATTGTTATAATGGTGTTTGATTTCTAAATGACTGTTTTATATGGAATTTATATGGTTAATTGGCAAAGATGTGGCCATGGATTGGTTATTACGCAAGGAAGAGTAGAAGACACTAGGCGTGGTAGATCCTTTGAAGTGGACGAACCAAGTCATGCGGTTGTGGAAGTCCCACTGGACGAATATGCGACAAAGGCAAGAAGTAGAGTGGAGTGGAGGTGTAGTGTCAAGTGGGTCACAAACCAATAAGGATGACCACCACCAGTCTGTCGTGGTTGAAATGACTAAGAAAGAATAAGAAAATATGGTTAATTGCAAAATAGCCCCTTTAACCGAAAATGGAGGGAGAGCTCAACGAAAGTATGTATGGTAAAATTATCTATGTAGACAATACTTTATGAATTAATAAGAAGGACTGAAGGAGAAGAAAGAGGACATCACTTACGCCAAACCACGAACGAGAAATATTAGGTTATAAGTTTATTTTTCGTGCCTTTCCTGGACTGTGTGGCAGCCATTATAGATAAATTTCGCCGGACACTTGACACTTGTTTACAACCTGGTACAAATTTAGGCCAATGTTATCCAAGAATTTACAATATGTAGCGCCTGACCTACTTCGTGGGTACTTCGTGGTGTAATTGCATGACCAAGTAGGCACTTTTTGACGTGATTTCAACAAAAATGTTTCCCTAACATGTACACGATTATATTAAAAAAACTTTAACATTCTTTAAGCTGAAAAATGGTGAGTCAAAACATTGAATCATATTTACTGAACTTTCACAATATTTTTGGAACCGGACAGGACAGAAAAAGGTATCTTTACGGTATAATTTTTAAAATATAAAACTATCGATTTTTTTAATGGAAAATTTTATTACTTTCTATATTTTTAATGTTATTATAGACTATATTACATACATATATTACTAACGAGAGCTTTTAGTCAAATTATGTTAGTAGAATGAGTTGTGCAATAATAAAATGATATGCAACAACCTCTTTAACCTTGTTATGAAATAATGGATTGCTTTCTTCTTTTGCATGTTGCTAAAACATAGATACATTACGTTTATAGTCAAACGTTATGTTAAATATATAAATCTCCTCGTACTATGCGATTTCGTAATATATAAGTACGTTTAGAATTAACTCATGTGACCACAGATATATATAGAATATCACTTGAAAAACAATAAAATCTTTCATTAGAAATTGAAAAAAATAATAATGATCGAAGATATTTGACTGGCGCAACATAGCCAAAAAATGCAGATGAATGGCTGGTTGTATGGATGTATAGATGTTTGTTACTCTTTCACGCAAAAACTACTAAATGTATGTTAATGAAACTTTACAATAATATAGCTCATACATCAGAGTAATACTTTTTACCTTGAAAAATGTACGAATTCCGTGGGATAGATTTGTTTTTGTCTAGGGAAGAACCCGAAGCTATATATTATTATTGAGATAATAAATAGAAATATCTATAACTCAACATATTTACTTTAACTTCATTATGTAATATGTATAGTAATATTAGCAGATTAACAACATGTCAAGGACGTGTGTGTGAAAGGCCTAACTAGAAATAAATATTACATTTATAATTTTAATTTAAAACCCGATAAAATTGCATAAATATATTTTACACGAACAAAACGAATTGCGAACACTCCAAATTTTACTTGTTGACATTTATAGTGTAGGGCTCATTAAAATTATTAACACGGCCTTCATCATTTGTATTATGAATTACGATTTTGAATTCCTTAATGTAGGTTAGTAGGAAGAGCATAACTGACAAAACTTTTTGCTTAAATAAACCACAGCACGTCCTTATAACCGATCCATATGAGAAATATGTTAATTAGTAAAACTGAAGTCCAACGTCTTTACATTTAAAGTAACTATTTAATCAATGCTATTGTGTAATTTGATGACACGTTTGGCTCCGTTTGGGTTCGAGTCCCGCTAGGGGCATTCATTTGTGTGATGAACACAAATGTTTTTACTCCAGTCATGGGTGTTTATATTTATAATATATATGTATATAAAGTTATATATGTGTAGTGTATCAACTATCTGGTATCCATAACACAAGCCTCGTGCTTACCATGGAACTAGATGGTGCTGTGTTAGTGTCCCAGCAAAAAAAAAATGTACGAACATACGTACGCGTAAAGACATTTTTTCTTGCAATTGCACAGATTTTTTTTCTTAGTAGTACTTAATCGTTATACTTACGTATAAAGTTATACATACATGTATCATTCTAAGAAGTTAATTAGTCATTGATTAGACAAATATTTATATGTCCTTGTATAATTTATGGCAAAAATATTGATGCCGAATATCAACTCACTATGCGATGACGCCATTGACTAAGGATTCAGACATGACTCACAAACTTCGTAGACGTTAGCAGAAAGATTCGAACTAAACCTCCTTTAGTTTGTCTTATATGATCCTCATAAGAATAATAAACAGCATTCATTTTTTCTTTATATAGTAGATACTAATTTTTATATTGTGTATGCGACTCTAGAATGTTTTTGAGTGTATTTCTTGTGTTTATTTCTATTATTAGATTACGTTAACAACCATATTATTTCACAGGCGATTATTGAAATTGGTTGCACGGTTAACAATTACTATATAAATTTAAAAAAAAAAACAGCAATTTTAAATACTTTTTTCTTTTTCTTATACCTAAATAACTGTAATATCGCTATGCGACAGGGATTTTTTTAAATGCGAAGTTGTATATTAAAATGTTATAGTTTAGTCAACTACGACTTACCCGAGCGAACTTGTTGACCGA